TTTTAGAACGTTATGGTCAATACGTAGGGCTTTTAGTCATGTCGACGCTAAGACGTTTTTGACTTTGTATACAGTGTTCGTTCGTCCTAAACTTGAGTACTGCATACAAGCGGCTAGCCCCTGCTTAAAAAAGACAGTGAGCTTCTGGAAAAGGTTCAGAGAACGGCGACTAAGCTGGTTCCCGGAATAGCGAAGCTTCCGTATGAATCTCGACTGGCCAAGCTGAACCTTTTCCCGTTGTCATATCGCAGAACTAGAGGCGACTTGATTACAGTCTACAAATTGCTTAGTGATAAATTTGCACCTAACATGCCCTCATTTTTCTTGTCTTCCAAAACAGAGAATTTACGAGGACACTCCAAAAAAGTTCACAAGCCGAGAACAAATTACTTGTCAGCTGACTATCGACTTTCCCATCGAATCATCAACGAGTGGAATTCACTACCTCAGCACGTGGTTGAGGCTCCATCCGTCGACTCTTTCAAAAGAAAGTTGGATCAACTGAGAGACCACCATTGCCAGGACTAACATAGGCCATCGAGCCTCCTGTCCTTCCCAAACTGACACTGAAACTGAAATACAAGCACTGCGTCCAGCTACCGCTATACGTTTTAGTCATCATATTCCAAAAGGGTGATGTTTATACTTCATTACTAAATACATTTTACTGATTAATAAATAAACACTTTGTAAATAATTTAGGCATCTATATATAATTAGTTATAACATAAATATTTGAGGACTGAGCACAACAATTTCAGTTTTGAAAACCTGAAACTATGAAAATTACCGGTATTCCAACACGTTTTGCAATAAGACATTTTTATGTAAGGTTTCCGATTGATTGACAATTCAAATCTACGAGGTTGCATGCAAATCATTGAGTAATATGTTATGAGATTGTCAATCGTGAAAGGTCCTCGTAAATAAGTTTGAGGTTGTGGAGATTGTTAAACTGCATTTAAATCTTGAACCTATCTAAGTTATACCACCATTGAAAACTTGAAAGTATTGAACGGCGGACTCATCTGAGTATGGAACTTCTCAGCAGTGAGTATCTACGATCCAGTACGTGGGAATAGAACCCAGAGCCTTCAGGCTTGCTCGTGGACGCACAACATTTAGACCACTGAGCCGACACCCAACGGTGTTAATGCTTAAACTTAATCCATCCACAAAATTGCGTGACCATCTTCTATTATCTTCGGTGGGCAACTGCATCACACTTGACATGGATTAGCTCCATTGGTTGCAGATTCTCACTAGAACCTAGGAAATTCCCTCTCGAAGCTAGTCACTATTAAGCACATTTATCTCAACTATATTCAACAGTGTGACCAGTATTATATTTTAAAACGGAATAAATAGAACGATTTCAAAGCTTATTCAGCATCGTGTAGGTAGGAAAATGAAACATCACTTATGAGAATTTGAGAATATAGACAAAATGTTTGAATAAACTAAAATGATATGACAAATTTAGAATAATTACTCGTCAAGTGTCTGGCTATTTCTTTTTGATTAATCTTCTATAATATTGTAAACAAATCTGGATATCTGCATTTGAATATGAGCCATGTCATTCTAAGTAATACACCACTGATTTCTACTATTCAGTGAGTCCTAGTTTAAAATACTGAAGACATTATAATGCACGAACACTATTCAAGGTGGTTGATTAATTTGAGGAACCATCTTAGTAGATCCAAGTTTCACTAACCAATTCACCATGAAATTCATCATCCTAACTTCTCTCCATCACAGATGAAATACATCTCGAAAACCATCAGTGAAACAGATTTTACATGCTTTCATCAGACAAGTAATTCAGCCTTGTAGTTTCAAAGAAGTTACTCTATCAGTAGACAATGAATCGTAAGTGTGGTTTGGTCAGTGCTCGTTGTGTTGAACTTTAGGATGTGACTTCTTCCTTGTGTATGTTGAGGCCTACCGTTACAGAATATGCTGCTTCACTGGCTGTCCTCACCTTCATTTGTTGGTGTGTATGGGATAGAGGAGCTAGGTCATCTGGGTAGTGTAAATCGTGCAGCAACATCCGAGCTGTCCATTGTGTTCGGTGCTTCGCCTGAGATGTGGAAGTCTTTATAACTCAGTCGAACATCAGATTGGGGAGAAGGTAAGAGAATGAGCGGCCTTTTCTGACACCGGTCTTCATTTGGAATGCATCTGCGAGTTGTTGAACTGTGATCCGTAATGTTGCGATGTGGTTGGTACACGATCGATCCTTACGGAATCCAACCTGTTGATCTCAGAGATGGCGTCTACTGATCCTTTCATTCGATTCAACAACATTCTGTTGAGAAGCTTCCCGGTACCGTTAGTAGTGTGATGCCACTGTAGTTCCCACATTTGCTCAGATCTCTCTTTTTTATCTTGATGAGTCAGTCAGTCAGTTACAACGTCGGGCCAGGCATATACATGCATCGGTACAAGTTGCCGCATCTTATTAGCACAGCAAGATGAACACTGGATTCACAGAAGCAGTTAACTCAATAGTGATATATATAAAGGAAAGGTTTTATGTAACGATATAGTACAGAAAGAAGGATATGGAATGATTTTAATCTCATAGTTTAAAGGAAGACAGAGGGTGTATACACCTACGCTGTTGTGACCGATTCTGAGTTATGTCACCCAAAGTCACCAACCATTGGTTACGATAGTCACGTGGACCCCAACCAAGTAGTCTGCATCTAACAACATGGCTCAGACTAGGAGTTAGTGACTTCAAGCACTGATGCCACGTTTTGGTTTGGCCGCCCCTAACTTTCTTTCAACCATTCCCAACACTGATCAGCATTATATGCCGTGGTAACCGGTGTCTAGGCATATGCAACACGTGGCCCAACCATCTCAGTCGATGTAGATTCACAACCTCGCCAACTTACTTACCATCATTCCCTAATACCATGCGTCTAACCTCACTATTACTTACCCGATAATCCCAGCAGATACCAGCAATATTTCTAAAGTATCTGTGGTCAAATACTAGTATCTAACGAGAATCTTCTACTCTTAATGGCCATATTTCGCTGCCGTAAATTAAAACAGAACGAACCGCTGCGCAGTATACTAATCCTTTCACAATTGATTGATCACTGGGTGGTGATCAATGTCTTGCTTGTCTAGTCCTTATTAGTGCAGATCGAATGCTATCGATCATGTTGCAATGTGGCCACCAGTCTAGGTGACTCGACACTGCGGGCACTATGTATTGAGATTTAGATGGTGGTTGGAGGTAGTCAACAGGAAACGCTGGACCCGGGTTTCGTGCTACTTGGCACTCGTCAGCAAGGTGTACCTGTAATCTTGAGGGAACTGGTGCTCCCTGGCGGATTCGATCTCGTGTCACCCAGCTTCACAGTCAGAGACGTTACCACTGAGCTATCCGAGCCGTGACTAACCTCCTGTAGGACTGAGATGTAATCACAATTGATTGATCACTGGGTGGTGATCGATGTCTTGCTTGTCTAGTCCTTATTAGTGCAGATCGAATGCTATCGATCATGTTGCAATGTGGCCACCAGTCTAGGTGACTCGACACTGCGGGCACTATGTATTGAGATTAGATGGTGGTTGGAGGTAGTGAACAGGAAACCCTGGACCCGGGTTTCGTGCTACTTGGCACTCGTCAGCAAGGTGTACCTGTAATCTTGAGGGAACTGGTGCTCCCTGGCGGATTCGATCTCGTGTCACCCAGCTTCACAGTCAGAGACGTTACCACTGAGCTATCCGAGCCGTGACTAACCTCCTGTAGGACTGAGATGTAATCACAATTGATTGATCACTGGGTGGTGATCAATGTCTTGCTTGTCTAGTCCTTATTAGTGCAGATCGAATGCTATCGGACTAGACAAGCAAGACATTGATCACCACCCAGTGATCAATCAATTGTGATTACATCTCAGTCCTACAGGAGGTTAGTCACGGCTCGGATAGCTCAGTGGTAACGTCTCTGACTGTGAAGCTGGGTGACACGAGATCGAATCCGCCAGGGAGCACCAGTTCCCTCAAGATTACAGGTACACCTTGCTGACGAGTGCCAAGTAGCACGAAACCCGGGTCCAGCGTTTCCTGTTGACTACCTCCAACCACCATCTAAATCTCAATACTAATCCTTTTATTGATAGACGGATATCTCGCCTTCGTCATAGGTGACGTAAGTTGGCAAAAGCCAAACGAGCATTTCAAATCCGTGCTGAGGTTTCGTCAGACACCAATCCATTACGGCTGATCAGATTTCCAAGATAAGTGAAGTTGTCAACGCGCTCGACTGCTTCACTCCCTATCCTTAGTTCAGGTGTTGACTTAGGCCAGTCCTGAAGCAAAAACTTGCATTTACAGGGGAAGAAGCGCATCCCAAATATTCTGGCATTGTTTCTCAGTGCTACAAAAGACTCTGCATTTTATCAGCGTCGTCACCAAATAGGACTATATCATCTGCGAATTCGAAGTCTATAAGTGGACCTCTCGGTAGGAGATCAATGCCAAAAAGTTCAGTCGACAAGAGCGTTATTTCCATCAGCATGTCTATAATGAAATTAAACAAAAATGGAGAAAGTAGACAGCCTTGACGGACACCTCTTGAGGTTGGAGTTGCACATATAATGTGGCTGTAAATTCTAAGAAAATGAATTCATCGAAAGATAACTTCATCAATATAATTCCTATTTTTCTCAACGTCAACTATGTTAATGCTTATGTTACAAGATAGATATCGTATATTGGCAAAAACTTTTTACTTAATAGTTAATGTACTTTAATACCAAGTATTAGATCACAGGTTCAACGTTAGCTTTACCTAAATTAGTTCTGTTATCTGGAAATAGTATTATCTGTCTTTACAACTAAAGTGTAGTTCAAACACAGTGATATTAATATATACACTCGGTACATGAATTACACTAACTAATGGGACATAGATTTAATGTACATAGTAAATAGGATTTACTACATGTCAGTTAATAGACATAACTTACACAACATTTACGTCTTTCAGTTACATGTGATTCACCTAAACGTACAACACATCTTTCCAATTCATTCAATGGTGGTAATAGCATAACCACTTTATGCTGTTGAATATCATCATTATTGTTAACATTTTTCATTTGAATGACAGTTTCTTTTTCAGTTTCATTAAGCTGTTGTTTCAATTTATCAAAATGTAATTGTTCTACTTTAGCTTGTTCACGTAATTTCAATAATCTTTGTTCATGACACCAATTAACAAATGTATTTAAAGCTTGTATACCATCACTTGTAATGAATTCTTCACGAAACTCATTGGTATTTTTTGACCATTTCACTTCTCTATTTATAGATTTAATTTTAGTCGCTGAATTATTTGTTGTATGTAGAATACTTTTTAATTGATTTCCAAGTTTGGAAGATTTATTCTGAATGAATTATACAAGGCAGAAATTCATTAATTATATGAAATAATAAGAAACTACTTAATGAATTTGAATAGCTTTAATATACGCTTTGTTAAAGATATAAGATTCTATGGACTGGATATTTTAATGATTGTTGTAACATTGGAAAATTACTTGATTCGCAAACATCATGAGTTGACATATTAAAGTTATTGTTATTTTTGTGATAAATTTGTGTACCTTATTGATTCAAAGCGTTGTTTACTAGCGGAAAAAGAAACAAACTCTAACAAGTAATTATTAACATGCAACATCTGCTGAATATCTTAGTGGCCATCATGACTCAATAGCTGGGTTAAAAATATATTGAATTTTAAAATAATTAGTAGTAGTTTCGAGTGTAGATGTCAATATTGCAGTATATGTTTAACCAGCTAATGAGTTCTGGATAGGATGAAACGTGAATTCTCTATTTTACTAATAATCATAATGCTTTATTTAATTTTATAAATATCATAAACTATTAACGATTATCTGTAAATTATGAGAAATCCATAAAAAATCATGTTCTGTTTTCTATCCAAAGGTTTTTATGAACACGAGAAAGTAACTTGATGAGAAAGGTTTGTAAACTTTTTTTTCAGTTGTAAGCAAAATGATAAAAAAAACCCATTAAAAGTGAATGAAAAATTATAATTAGTCGCATTCCTTGCAACTAACTTTAATGTGGACCATCTGAAGATAATAATCAATTGAACACTTTAATAGCTAATTTAATGACTAAGTTTTCTTGGGTCGATCTTTCTGCATCAGATTTTATTTATATCTGTAGATCACTTGTAAGGAAATCATCAGTCACAAAGCTATATAGAGAGTCTGTGTAAACAATGTACTCTGCACCAAAACCCAAACAATTATTTGATGGCAACTCGAACCCGACGTACGCATGTTCCAGGTTCTACGTTACGTTTGACTAACCGACTGATATGTTTTAAATAAGTCAGACGATTAAGATAGTCATATGTTATACTAAGGTAAGTCAGATCAAAATTCAGTCACGGTTCATATTTATACAATCAAACTATTAGAATCATTCAGATTTCTCATTTTGGTAATAACAGCCAACTATGAAATCTATGAGGTAATTTATTTATCATAAACTTGCTTAATATTAAAGTATTTTAATGTTGAGTGGGTACTTATCTCGGAAAATCTGATATTGAAATGATTTTATTTAACGATGTTTGATTCAGATTTCCAATCAAACGCTATCTGACGTAGAAATAACTCCGCCTGTACATTTATAGGGTTACTGCCGATTTCAAGCCTCGGTGAAAGACGAGGGTCGGGCATGAAGTCAGCATCCCTATCACTTAGAAAACAATCCTGCTAAAATACGCTAACAAGAAAAAAACAAATAAGCCATTTAAGCTCTGTCCTCCGAGTTGAAGAGATCCATTCCTTATGGTGATGCTTCTTTAGGCTCAGAACCTCTTGACACGTTGAAGTTAATGCTTCTTTGATACGTTTCCAGTTTTCCTCCATAGCAGTCTCTTCTTTCTTCAGTAGATCCTGCAAGACTTGAAACCTTTAGTTGAGAGTTGTCTTGAATTTATTGAGTTTGTCAGTATCTCGAAGGAAGACTGTATTGAACCTTTGTAGTGCTGTATGTCCATTCGTCCAGTTCTTCTTTAGCTTCACTTTTAAATTGGTCACAACTAGGTGGTGATCTGAAGCCATATCAGCTCCTCTCCTGCTTCTCACATCTTCCATTGTCCTTCTGAACCTTTTATTGATGCAAATATGATCTATATGGTTCTCTGTAGTGTGGTCCGGTGAGATCCATGTAGTTTTGTGTATACGTTTGTGTGGAAATATTGTGCCACCTATGACCAATTTGTTGAATGCACATAGGTTTGAAAATCTTTCTCCATTTTCGTTTCTCTCTCCCAGTTCATGTCATCTCCTGATATCTTCATATCCAGTGTTGTCTATTCCGACTTTGGCGTTTAGATCTCCCATCAGAATAGTGAGGTCCTTTCTTGGGCACTTATCTATGATTGATTGTAGCCTCTCATAGAATTGGTCTTTAATGTCGTCGTTGCTATCATTGGTGGGTGCATAACAATGGATAATATTCATTGTGATCCCCTCTTTCCTTGTTTTGAAGGATGCTTTGATGATTCTGGATCCGTCAGATTCCCATCCTACAAGTGCATTTTGTCCTACTTTGGACAGCATTAGAGCAACTCCCTGAGTGTGTGGAGCATTTTCTTCTTCGTGGCCGGAGTATAGTAGCATCTCTCCCGTATTTAGCCTTTGTTGTCCAGCTTGGGTCCGATGCGTTTGGCTGATTCCCAGTACTACCAAGTTGTATCTCCTCATTTCCGTTGTTATTTGACTGGTCTTCCCGGTCTCCCACATTGTTCGGACGTTCCAGGTACCTATAAAATTGTTGCTCTGGTTTTTAGAAGGGGCGTCGGCCTTGTGGCTTCCGAAGGAACTTGGCTTTCACCATGAGGCGTTCTAGTTCTTCTGAATGGACACCTTCTAACTCCCAGGGCAGATTTTAAATGATTTGAATTATTTTTTTTGGTCAGCATGTTTTGGTGAGTCAGTTTTCTGCGGGATGGGGCCACTAACGCCATCCCTAATCCTCCTTCTTTACCGGGCTTGGACCGGCAAACTGCTTCATCTTCGTCAGATGTGTTACACAACATGTTAGACACATTTCTCTCGTACACATAACGTCGGTTTCAGCTGGTGGATTTTAATTGTTCGGCTAAACACAAGTGCCGTATGCTAACTCTACGAACCAGCTTTCTATTGAATGGCATGGTAGTTTTACGAAATTCAGCTGCAATCGTGTTAACTGCTTCTTTCCATCTAAAGCCCAACTCTACAATATGTATATCTATAATTTGTATACCGCAATGGAGATATAACTGATGTTATTCATTAACAGTAACTCTAATCTATAAATTTCATTCATTAAAAACCTTCATACTAGCAAAACAACTTTTCACTCTTCTATCGAAGTTAGGAGAAGACGCTGAAGGTGGGTAGGTCATACATTGAGTAAATCATCAATCTGCACCACGACGCAAGTTCTAATTCGGAATCCTAAATGCAAAGGAAAAAAAATATAAGTTAAAGAACACAATGCTCATTGAATAGGAGGCATCCGTCAAAAGAACGATTGGTACCTAGAAGCAACTGAAAAAGAGAGCATAGAACAAAGTTGGTTTGTCTAAAGATTCTCGGCTACCTATGCGCCATGAGGGGTAACATGTGTCACAAAGGATGTAAGTAAGATGTAGAAATATTTACGTGGTTATAACCCAATATGTCACTGGAAGATTCACATGGCTGGATGCAATCAACTGATTTGAATATATATTGATAGAAAAGTTGTGTTGATCCGAATTGAAAAGTCATTTTTATCGTTTAAGACAGGCCATCAGTAGCGACCCTTATGGGCCTATGGCGATCGGCATTGTTTGAAAAACATGAGTCTGGTCAACAAATTTCCTAAACGTCCATCATTTGGGATCCTCAGTTATCAGTCTAAGTGTGAATTACCACAAAGAAGTCTACAAGCAGAAATGGATGGTGGCTAGAAGTGGCATCTAGGGAGCGCATTTTATCCTATTTTGGACTCATTAGCTGAATGTACCCGCACAGATTTGGTGTTCACTCCGAAACTCGAACCCAGTACTGTTCGCTTTAAATGCCATCGCGTTATCTATTTAGCTACTGTGAATAACGCAATGGTATTTGAAGCGAACTGTACTGGGTTCGAGTTTCCGAGTGAAGACCAAATATGGGATGCAGGTACACTCAGCTGATGAATCCAAAATGGACGAAACGCACTTACTAGATCCCACTCCTGACCATCATCCATCTTTGCTTATAATGCTTATGGCTAGAGGTAATATCGAGGCAACCCGCATAGGATACAAATATGCTAATAAGGGACTGATCAGTTGCAATCCTAAACATCAATGGGAATATTCAAACAATTGATACAAAAATGAATGAACAGAAAACTATGTTTGAACGAGGTAAAGTTTCAACAAACCTTTGATGCTATTTCACTGCTTTGTCTGAACCAATTCTCAAGCCACACAGATAATAATCGGTAAAATTTAATCCAACAGTTTAATGTTTCAATGTTCTCCACCAAATGAATACAATCATGTAGATGGATAACTTTTTTTTGGTGGAGTGATTTTCACATTTCTTTCGATATTTCCTAGTTTACTTAGCTCTCCTTCAAGATAATTGCAATATTTAATTTGAAATCCAAGTGACTGTAATGAACGATGAATATAGTGTGTTAAATTAGCATTTTTAATTTCTCCAGGAACCTGTGGATCATTTTTCTCGGTGTTTAGTAGAACTTTCACATACAAAACTAGTAAGATAACCACTGTATCAATGTCGTGGAAACCAAGTGTAATCAAAAGTGTGCTCACTGCTTCCAACATTTTCCATTCTTTGAATTCTACTGTTTTTCCTAATTCATTTATTATACATCCTGTCAGGCAATGATGTAATTCGGGAATGTACTTGTCAGATAACTGATGATCTGTGTAAAGTGTTTTAAAATCTGTACAAAATTGGGAAATAGTCTGACAAAGATACGGATCTTCATCCTCTGTAGATGGTGAAGTTGCTTGTAAGCATAGTTTTGGTATAATATTTGTCCAAAACAGCCAATGAATAAAGCAGTCAACGTTAGAACCTGCATTAAAATCAGACCATCCTTCAGGTTCCTGACCATTTAGTAATCCCATAATGGACAGCCATCTAGAATTTCTAAAGCATTGCAAGAACTCAGGCAGTACAAATATATCGATTTCCCCTGGAGAATCTGTATTTCTGAATTCTGTCAAGAAAATAGTATTTTCTCGTTCATATTTTGGACGACCAGGTGCTTGTCTTTCAATTAAATTAGACAATAAATCTGTTTCCTTCAAATAAGATTGCTTAAGATCACTTTTGGCTAGTGCTTCACGTTTTTTTGACGATAGTGTTGACTTTTCAGTTATAGACATTTGACTTTGTTCGATTTCAGTACTTATCTCATTTTGTAACGTCGATATACTAAATAAAGGATTCATTGAGTTGTTTATATCCCGGAATCTACTTGCAAGCAAATTTTTATCTGTATTCTCATCGGTTATATCCCCGTCACTCATTTCTTTACTGAACATTGTTAATTCTTTGTCTGACTCCACTATCCAACCTATACTTGAGTTCGAAGTTAGTGTACTTTCCAATCCGTTAACACCCGACCTAGCTAATCTTGCTTCAACGTCAGCCCAGTTGACTTCATTCGCATTTCTTTTATCATCTACTCCTGAGTGAGTTATTCCTGAATAATATTTGCCAAGAAGTAAGGAATTAGGCGCCCAGCCATACTTTGAACGTCCACTTTCAAGCAGAATAACTTTTGGAAAAAATCCATTTGTTCTTTGATTAAGAAGTAAATCCGACTCTTTATTATTAGTAATTATCGGTAATTTAATCGTCTCTTGGGGTTTTACAAAAGAAAGATCTTCACTTGCTTGTGGTAATTTTTGCTTTTTACCAGTTTTGCGGTGTTTTGCGAGTTTTTCTTTGCTTGTTTTTCCTAAATTCTTCTTGGCTGATGCTTCGGTTTGAATTTGTGAATAAGTTTGCTCCATAGTTATCAATTTCTCTTTAATAAAGTGATGTCTTCATCCTCTTCATTGTATAGTTCTTTCGAGTATGAAGTTAAATTTAAACATTGTTTAGATAATATTTTTTCATAGTAATTGTTAAAAGCGATTCGTCTAGCTTCTTGCATTGAAGCACAATCAATATGGGAACGGCGTTTTGAAAGAGTCTTTAAAAATTTAATTTGTGATATTTCCTCTAAATCTAAATCTCTTTCTTTGAGTTTAGTTAACATTTGTGATTTCTCTGACAAATTTTGTGCGGCTAACTTTTCTTCAAGTGAAAAGTCTATTGGTTGGCGAATGTTGCAAATCTGTTCAAAGTTTGAAAAAATGTACACAATATTTTATCATTAAGCATATAACTAAAAATTAACTAATAAACAGTAGAACTGTTGCTTGGTGCACTGAGACAAATATTTAAAAATTTGAAAATCTCTCATCATCATTGATAAAAATAAAATTAATTAAATAATCTGGTGTAAATAAAAAAAATTATTTCACTTTTTCTCCAGTATAATAGTCATGTAAGTGATCATAAGATTGAAGAAAGTGCAATTCAGTCGCTTCTATCATAAATTAGTATTACTGTGAATATATGAATAAAAACAGGACGATTATTTAATAGTCTATGATCTTCAGTAACTGCGCTCTAACTTTTTTTTACCTCAAATTGGAATTCTTCAGTAAATCCTACTTTCTACTTATTTTGATGAAAGACTATGACAATTTAGGTTTCTAAAAATGATTGTTAGTTAAATGTAACAAAAAAAACAGAATTTAACTATGAACAATAAATGAACCAAATTTTCAGAATAAAGTGAATTCACCTATTTTCAAAACTTCGCATAAACTACAAAAAGCTTAAGAAATAATAGTTTGAAATCTGATACAAAATATCAATCACATGATTACGATTTGTGTGTTAAAATTCAATCGTAAAGAGTAGACGAGTAGAGGCTACAGCTACTAATAATACCCTTGAAAATACTTGGTTATGAAATCAGACGACATAACACTGAGGAATCTCTCATGGGGTAATGTGTAGATTGTTGAGTTTGAAGTTCTACATTAAAGGGTTGATTTTCATTAGAAAAGCACTGGAAATAAGGACTCCTTCACAGTGAGCCTCGGAGATTCTAACTGGATCGAATTCATGTTTTCAGGCTCCACACCAAGCGTCTAGCATTTAGATCAGAGTTGGAACTCAATGGTTAATATTGCTAACTTCGATCAATTCACTGAATTTTTCAGTTTTGGTGTGTGGAGATTGATAAACTGCATTTAAATCTTGAACCTATCTAAGTTATACCACCATTGAAAACTTGAAAGTATTGAACGGCGGACTCATCTGAGTATGGAACTTCTCAGCAGTGAGTATCTACGATCCAGTACGTGGGAATAGAACCCAGAGCCTTCAGGCTTGCTCGTGGACGCACAACATTTAGACCACTGAGCCGACACCCAACGGTGTTAATGCTTAAACTTAATCCATCCACAAAATTGCGTGACCATCTTCTATTATCTTCGGTGGGCAACTGCATCACACTTGACATGGATTAGCTCCATTGGTTGCAGATTCTCACTAGAACCTAGGAAATTCCCTCTCGAAGCTAGTCACTATTAAGCACATTTATCTCAACTATATTCAACAGTGTGACCAGTATTATATTTTAAAACGGAATAAATAGAACGATTTCAAAGCTTATTCAGCATCGTGTAGGTAGGAAAATGAAACATCACTTATGAGAATTTGAGAATATAGACAAAATGTTTGAATAAACTAAAATGATATGACAAATTTAGAATAATTACTCGTCAAGTGTCTGGCTATTTCTTTTTTGATTAATCTTCTATAATATTGTAAACAAATCTGGATATCTGCATTTGAATATGAGCCATGTCATTCTAAGTAATACACCACTGATTTCTACTATTCAGTGAGTCCTAGTTTAAAATACTGAAGACATTATAATGCACGAACACTATTCAAGGTGGTTGATTAATTTGAGGAACCATCTTAGTAGATCCAAGTTTCACTAACCAATTCACCATGAAATTCATCATCCTAACTTCTCTCCATCACAGATGAAATACATCTCGAAAACCATCAGTGAAACAGATTTTACATGCTTTCATCAGACAAGTAATTCAGCCTTGTAGTTTCAAAGAAGTTACTCTATCAGTAGACAATAAATCGTAGATCAGTATATTGTTTTTTCCGTGTTGACTTTCAAACGCGGTTTTTGTATTCATGTCGGGATTGGTTATCAAGCAGTTTATTGCTGCTGATACGACGTCTCAGTTAATCAAGTATTTTCATATATCCATCTAGTTTGATTACTATTCTAAGGTCAAAAATGTTTCGAAACATCGGTTTGTACTCAATCTATTCAAACTTAGTCAGTTGTTCAGATATATTTAGCATGTGACTCGCAATGGAATCCGGAACATGAGTTCCGTTCTTTTTTTTATTTCCCAGCTTTGTGTACATACGTCCTAGTGTTGATTTTTAAGCGTGTGTCCTGGAGATTCCACAGCTAGCAATGTGTCAAATGTGCCACAACTTATGACGTAAAACTATATCGAGACAATTGACTCAGAATGCTTATATGTATCAACTCAGACTGATAAATTGTAGTACAAAATATCACTAAGGCGAAATTACAAAGTCTTATTAATACAATCATCTGTGTTTATTGACCAAACGTTGCATCTACCACATTGAAATGTTACTTTTAAAATGGTATGTTCATGATATCCAACAATCCTTACATATTCGACGACTAATACTTGAAAGTCATTAAGAAGAAAAATATGTTTAATTATTAGTCTTCTCATTAAATAAAAGTGATAACGGAATTCCTGATTTATTCAACAAAACTCTACATTAATAATAAACATTTTCATGTAATTAATACTAATCATGAATATAATTTATTTTTGTTTTCAGTCACTGATTCTTATACTTCAGGCATTTTGTATTATTATGAATTAGTAGGCTTTCTTTCAGTTTTTGTAAAAAATCAGTATGATTAGTCGCTTTACTAAAAATAGCATGGTGTAAATATAATTGGTTGACGGAATGATAACAACTAATTGTGTAAGTGTTTTACTTATATGTTTATGATTTATTCACTTTGAGCATTGTCATTTCTTAAGTTATCAAATTATAGATTGCAGATATGTTGAGGTTGACATGTTTATGAGTAACTAAACATCTTAAATTTATTGATGGATATCCAGACTTACTCAATATATAACATATGATTTAGTATGTTAAGGTTTAAAAACATTTTATTTAACGTCTGTTACCTATCTAGTATACCTTGCATGATAATAAATAGAACTAATTACCATTTCAAAGAATTAAAGTAGGGTATCAATAAAAGAGTGGAAAGTTGTTTTGCTAGTATGAAGGTTTTTAATGAATGAAATTTATAGATTAGAGTTACTGTTAATGAATAACATCAGTTATATCTCCATTGTGGTATACAAATCATAGATATACATATTGTAGAGTTGAGCTTTAGATGGAAAGAAGCAGTTTACACGATTGCAGCTGAATTTCATAAAACTACCATGCCATTCAATAGAAAGCTGGTTCGTAGAGTTAGCATACGGCACTTGTGTTTAGCCGAACAATTAAAATCCACCAGCTGAAACCGACGTTATGTGTACGAGAGAAATGTGTCTAACATGTTGTGTAACACATCTGACGAAGATGAAGCAGTTTGTTAGTTTCCTCAATCTATGTGCTATCCATCTTCAGCATATTCTCCTAATTTCCTCTTCAGATGGGAGCTGGTTTATTCTCTCCCACAGTGGAGTTTTGCTGATGCTATCCGACAAACGAACGTCCAGTCGACGTTGCGTAGACGATTGTTCACAAATACCTGCACACTGTTGACGATGGTTGTAGTAGTTCCCCAAGTTTCATCTCAGTATAATAGCACTTTCCTCACATTCGTATTGAAGATTCTGACTTGAATGTTGGTTGGCAGATGCTTTGAGTTCTATATTTTCTTCAGTTGTAGGAATGTCGGTCTCGCTTTGCTAACCTTTGCCTTTATATTTGCATCACATCCTCCTTGTTTATCAATGATGCTGCTCAGGTACATGGAGATTTCCACCTCTTCCGTAGCTTCTTCATCAGGTGTGATTTGGTTAGTGCTCGTTGTATATATATATATATATATATATATATATATATATATATATATATATAGAGAGAGAGAGAGAGAGAGAGAGAGAGAGAGAGAGGAAAAGCTGATTTTTTTTACGGAAAACTGTTTTTTTTTTAAAACCCGTTTAGCTATTACATCTACCGTTTGGAGGACTCTGAGTCTGATAGTACTTGTGGGATGACTTTTCATACACTAAATTACTGTGGTCCATTTTTAACACAGGGGTTATAATAGAAATATTGTTTGTTTTAACTACTCCTTTGCTTACTTTACTCGATGTTTGGTAGTAAGGAAATGTAAGTTACCAGAACATCTGATGTAACTTGATACACAGGAGCAGTTAACTTCCTTAAATAGTCTTCGAACGAATATTTGATTTGATTAACATAATCATTAGTGTTACCCTCATTCTATATTATCTATATTTATTCTGATTGTTAATCTCGCGATTTCAAATCACATAAATGTATACAAGTTAACACTGCATACTTTACATTTAAGCATTCATAATTATATAATACTTTGGTAACAATCTTGAAATAGTATATATTGTGTATATTTTTTGGATTTATATGTCTTTGACTTGGTTATCTCTTTTTAACATTAACTTGGATTTACGTTTATGTAACCTGAAGAGGATTAATTTGAAGGAATATTCTTTGTTCATATATCTATATTTTTACCATTATATAGATTTTAAACAATCAGAATGTTGTGATTTTAAGATTCTAGCCATGCATATTAAATATATCGAGAATGCTGAGCATCTGCCTTAGAAATACATATATTTAAAAGTGATTATCTTCATAAAATGGCACCTATAAAAGGACCAGTTCGAAATTAAGGACCTCAAACTGTATGGGAGCTTTGTAGTGTTTGATATTATTTCAAGTCCACACGGGTTATTCTAGCTTCTGAATGGACCATTTTATTCCTTCTTGAGTCACATTCTGACCTTATCAATTATTCGCTTATTAACCTTGACTGTTTTTATATGGGCGTATGTGTGTGAATTGTTCAACCAACTCATTACATATCTGTAGCCTATTTTTATCTGATTACAAATATTGAGCCACGCTTTATCAAAACGGAGTTGAGTTTGCTTTTTCCGCTTCTTATCCTGAACGCCTGTCTGAATAAACGAATGCTTGAAATAAATCCCTTCAACGCAATCCACATTCGGCTGTCACACACGGGATTAGCCTAGTTAGTATACGAAATTAAATGGAAGATTTGTGCTCATAGTATATTCGAACATTCATCTAAATCGGGGTCAGATCAGCTGGCCACATAAGCTTCATTGTGATTTAAAATTCTTCGAATGATTATATGTCAGGACTTTTGTCGTCATGATAATGTCGAAAATGACGTTATACAGAATTTATCTATTACCCTAAAATATTTATGCATAAAGATTAATGATAGATCAGCTGGAAAGTGAAAAATCAGTCTGGCTATTTTATTATAAATCTCATTTTGCCGTCTTGTGACACCTATAATCACCTGTCATAAGTCATATGCAATATGGATTTTTCTTCATATTGACGATGATAAATATACATTTGTAGTGAAAACGTCGTGAGCTATGACATAATGACGCGTTTATGGCTTATATTAAATTAGAAACGACAATTTGTATCGATTTTTTAAGCAACTGATTAATTAGTTGCATATGTTAGGAAAAATGAGCAATAATTTGCTTGTTGACGAAGATATACAGCTTAGGCGTGTATTATATTATCTATGCCAAATATATGAGTTTCAGACCTCTCGTTATCATTTTTGACACTATTGCTGCCTCTACTTTATTTAAAATGTAGTTTCTGGGTTATTCCACACGTCTTATATCAGTTGGTTCGAATGTCTTTCTTTTGTGGATTTTTGTTTCCACTTATTTTTGCATTTATATCGAATGTCATTTTCAGTTGTCCTGCGACCCCGAAATTGATTAACCTCTTCTGTATGGGTCGATAGATTAAATCTATGTTAATGTCTTTATTGATTGCCAATCAATCAAAATGCCATATTGCTAAAAATTCTCTGTTATTTAGAATTTTCTCAATCCAGAATTTCTGTTGTTCATCATTATTCACAAGCATTGACACCAGTCACCCTAATGCTAATCGATGTCTATGTATGTGTAAGTGAAGGACGCATCAAATTTGTCAGGGCTTATGAAATTTATTTTATAGATGATGTTGTATTTGTTCTCTTTTACCGTTTTATCCTTTGGTTTACATGAAATAAAATGACCTGAATGTACTGACAATAATGGGTGACATTGATTTTAAAAGGTTTCAGAATGCTTATAATAGCTGTCAAGATATTGTTCACATATTTTGAAGGAAGATGGAGAATGAATATGCCTATCCAACTGGAATCAATTTCGATTCATGCCATTCAAGAAATATAACTCAGTAAAATTTGTAGTAATCTCATTCTGTATACCTTGAGTATTTTTTAAACTCTTAAAGGTTGCATAAACTCTTCTGACTAGTCTGTATTAGAGTGGGATTTCATGAAAGCTCAAACATTCAAATGGACTCGTGAATTTTGTCATGTAGTTTGCATATTTGCACACTGCTTTACCAGTTTCGAGTTTGATCAGATGCTTGTTTATGTCGAAAATAAACTGTTCTATAAAATGTCGTATTCGATTTCCTAATATTGAACTGCCAAATAGTAGAATATTTCACAACGAGTTTAGCTTCAGAAGATAATGCGACTTTTAACTTGCAGTTTGTATAATTGATGTCAGATTGCATTTAAAGTGAATATTGCCCTACCAAATGCCTTTTTATATAAGTCAGAAGTTAAAAAAAAACAAAATGTAGCCAGTTTTTGAATGAATCATCAGTAACATATATTGAACACTCATTAGCAATAGAAAAAACTTACCAAGACAAAGTTACATCATTCATTTTCTTTAATCCATCTACATTCCATTCTCTTCTTCTTATTACGTTTTGTAATATTTCTGGAATCATCTTATTTTCAGTAGATTGATTCATTAAATTTAATAAATAAGATCTTAATTTAAAATACTTATTCAATGTTTTATAGTGAAGTAAATATACACTATTATTGATTGTCAATAAAATATCACCATTTAATTGAATACCGACGATTCTACAAACAGCTTTAGAGATTCTTGGTCCGGTTGGAAATGGTAATCTAAGTGTATTTATCAACTGTAGACTACATTTTAAACAGACGATATTGGTGTCTCCACTATCAACTAACATTTGTAGACGTTGTAATGCTTTTGTAGATGTTCGTTCCAAACTGTTAGAGTTTCTGACATGATAATCATTTCCCATATTGTAATCAAATGTTGTTTGCCATACTTTTAAATAAAGGCTTTCTTGTTCAACAGGATCAGTAGTTACTGTTAGAAATATTTGTTCAATCATGGGTGATTTTTCAAAACGTTTATTTAACATGCTTATATTTGTTAAGCCAATACAAATATCTTTAACCAAAGTTGTATTCTCATGATTTAAATAAGCTGAGTCAAAATAACGTGATGTTATGAAATTGAACATAGAATAAATATCACCTGGATTAGCCACTTCAGCACAGACCACATTGTAACAACAAGAATTAGTTACACAATTAATATCAGTTTCCTTTACTTTGGGAAATGAATGATTCTTAGCTGTATAAATGCAATAGATGTCAGTATTATTAATAATTTTAAATGGAAAACGTGTGAAATATGCACGTAAATTTGGTTTATTCCTTTGAAAAATGTCCAGTTTTTGTATTTGCACACCGATTGGTAAAGGTGTAATCAATTGCCATACTTTTAATGTTCCATCTAAGGTGATAATGTATAATCTCCCGAATATCGGATTTGATCTAATTGAAGATATATGTTGTTTCTGATCAACTTCTGGGGGATTATCTAATTTGCAAAGTAAACAAAAATGAGTTATTAACTTACATGAGTGATGGGTCTGTCATTTAGAAAACAAATGAAAGTCGAGATTTTGACAATTATTTTGCCTTGGTTTCCAACTGTTTATCAACATACATCCTAGTTTCTATGCAGAACCATGAACAGGATAAATTTTGGTGGTGACGAGTTTTCTAAGCAGGATAGTCTAGTCATGAAGCCTTCATTGTCCTTATAGACATCATCAGCACTGATGTAAGCGAAGATATGTTGTGGAGTTTGACAATGAATTGATGTTCGTGCAGATGAGTAGTGTAGCCCTTTTACCTGATGCAAATTCTTTCAGCTGGAGCCCATTTTTATTCAAATTTTGTTCCGGTGATGTTATTTAAAAGTAGAGATACATAGTCGCGTTACTTACAAACTTCAAGTAATATAACATTTGACACAATAATATGTTTTTCTTCGGAAACAAGTTACTATTTTCCATAAGTTTCTGACCAGTTAAATTGACCGTATTCTAAGGTCAGTTGAGCTGTTTGGTTGAAATAGAATAACGATGAATTTAAATTTCTGAGTAATATACCTGAAATGAGAAACTTTTAATCATTTGATGGGTGATATTTCTAACTACTTTAAAAGTCGGTTTCAGTAGGTAGTTACAGAACGGCCATTAAAAATAAAAAGTATTAATCAAATCTCATGCGTAATTATTTGGATTGATGTTAATATTTATCCATTTACTCACTTGTAATTATATTTGGTTCATTTAAATTCCAACATGGATTCTAAAAGATTCATTCAATGAATAAAGATGTCTGAAAGACAGAAAGGCAACTTAACGATCAAGCTGTCCATGTAAAATATCACGATGTTTACAGATTGTCACAAGGTCATTTTGTTGGTGGAACATCATCCATATCATATTCAGGAAGTTTTAATTCATTGTCTTATTTAATTGGAACCGATTCTTAGTTACATTAGTTTTACGTTTTAGTATTCTTTAATAGCTAATTAAATATCAAGTTATTCGTGTTAAGGTAAACACCTATTTTTAAACATGCGATTCTGATTTCTATCTCATACAGCGTGGTCTAAATGACGTCATAAGTTGAAGGTGATCAAATAGTTTAATAAAGCAAAAGCAGTTACTTACTTGAAGATTTGGTCGTTGAATACTTTGGAGCTGTGCTCATTACGACTCCTTCTTTGGTACATAATACAACTAAAGATCCATCGGACTGACCAACCAACAGTAAAAAAATAACCGGTGGTAAACAATCGCTGGATTTGTCATCTTCCAAAAATAGCTTGAAGTAATCTGGACAATGTACTGGGTAAAGTAAGAGTGGACCACGGTAAAACACATCATGGTCAGATGATGACCATATAGAAAGTAGGTTACATGGCCGACTACAAGTGGAAAATACAGCGATGTCTCCGTTCTGAAAGTGTTAATAAAATGTAATAAGTTCGAGGTAAATAAACTAAATGTAGGTGATTGATTTACAATCAATATGGTGAACATAGATTATGAAATTTGAATTGCTTTTTCACCCATATTCATTTAACTGCCCAAATGTACTAAATCGAAAAAGAAAACAAGTTTTTGGGTAAATTCTATAGTAAAGATCAGATAATGTTTTGAGACTGTGTCAAACAAACCAGTGAGTTTAATGACGAATTTATAAAATGACAAAAAAACTACGTGGTACTTGTAAAACATTCTCCCCTAGTTCGAGACACTAAGATGATACGTTTTTACAATCTTCATCGGAACAATAATGTAGTTTACTTAGATTTTCAATGGTTTAACAAAAAGTTATTATTCATAACTCCTTGTCAGTAAAACAACCTCGTTCTAAATCCGCTTTTTACATGAATTATTTCACCAAAAACTTTTTGAGACAGGAATAATTTACCACAATCTACCCATGAAATAAAATCACTCCCATCCGTTGTTAGCTGCATCGATGCTTACTTCTCTGTGTTGGGACGGCTTCGGGAAACACGACGAAGCCTCCAGAGGCTCTAAAGGAGCCGAAGAGATCCTATCCAACCAGAACCTGATAGAGCTTTCTAGAATATCAATGTGGAATGTTACGAATGGACAACAGCATAACTTGCCTCCCTAGGGATTGGCAGCATTCACTTTCCCTGCTTGTTCTGTCTTCTGATTTGCGACTCTGGGGTTCTACACGTTCGAGTGTCGCTAGTTGTATATCTTATTCTGCCTAATCCAGTAGAGGAAGTAACGCTCCTTCGAAATTGCCTCGAATGTGCTTACACCTGTAAGTGTATCCCAGTCCACTAGTGAGATTACAGGAACTTTAAATGTCTATTCGTTTTTATTACTGAGCCTACTAATGAAACCTCCCTACCTGCAGATACTTTACATTAACACCGTCACCGGTAACCTTAACTAACCTGAATAATATCTATAACGCACAGCAGACCATAAAATAACCTGGGACATGTATTATGGTAGACCTGACGAACTGACCTATCAAGGTGGCTATTGCTTTTGTTATTCCATGCTCTCTGTTTCCGCTGTATTTCCTCTAGCTGTAGATGATTATAATCAATAAGTTATGGGGCTGGCAATTAGTGCACGGTGGTTGTGATTTCTCATCCCCCTGTTGATAAGACGTTTAAGGGTGTGATTAGAAAATTTTTGAAATAGATGATTGGTGAACTTGTTTTTGAAAGTGTGTGCTCATTTGATAATGAACAAACATTCTAATGAGAAGCAGTGACCAGTGGAGTTCAACCGGGTCAGTTGTGATCACAATGGTGGATGTGTCGCTCAATTTCGTGGATTAGTTGAAGTTAGACATTAATACCGTCGTATGCTGGCTCATTGGTCTAGTTGGTTAAGCGCTTGGCGGGGTCGTGGATGCGCACCGCTGAGGAGTCCCACGGTAGGACGAAACGGCCGTCCAGTGCTTCCAGGTTTTCCATGGTGATCTAGCTTCAATTGACTCATAATCTCAACTGTTGAAACATTTTATCGCCTGTAATAATTCGTTAATTGACTGTAAACCGTGCATCTTTGTAATCTGATTAGTTCAAATCTAAGTAGCATAGAGCATAGCGCAACTTTGTGGATTGGTTGAGATTAGACATTAACACGGATTACCATCAGAGTAATCAAAATAATTCACGATACAAAAAGGATAGATGTCTTAGATGTATGGAGAATTGAAAAATTCATGCATTTATGGACTACAGTTCTGTTCTCCATTATTAATAACATTATTTATACTTTAAGTATGAATATCTTTAATATATATCTCGGGGAAAGAAACTACATAATGGACTTACGCTTTGTAAAATAAACAATTTTTCTAACATCCAATGCCAAGTAGCATCTTCAACTGTATCTTCGCATACAGCTGTTGTTAAAATGGATCCGTCCAACGTGGAAAGTAAATGTACACTTCCAGGTTTTCCTTCACATATAACAACTGCTACATTAATCGAATTATCATTTTGATATTCAGCCAGATTAGATGATTTGTTGGCTTTTGGATTAACAATATCATATAAATCATTCAATCTTATAAATGAAATATTTTTAACTGTTTGTGGAAATTCGGCCATCGGTGAACAAGGCTGTCCAATAATGCGAAACAAAGGAATAAAATGGTAAATTTAAATAAATTCTATATTTTAACAAACATATTATTCACCAACCAATAATCTATCATGTAAATATACATACTATTATGTAGCTTTGAAATTAAGCTTAATGAGAAGGAATCCTTCGTTAAATTATTTGTTTTATAAACATTCACTCCAAACAAACACGAAATGACAAATCCCAACTTGGTATAAATTGAAACAAATATACTCTTCATTTATTTTGTTGAATATAAATCTGAAATAAGATAATATTATAACTATTCATCAAACTCAAGAGGAATTGTTTGATTTATTAACGTCTTTTTAATCTAACAAGCAAACAGTAAAGGTTTGATTATGCACTTTAAAGTTATTGCTTTGTACAATACAACTTTCATTTTTGTAGATGTCAGTGAGTTTTATGTTACAAACAATGTTAATTAATATGATAAAATAATTGATCTGATAGATGAAATATGACGTTTTACCGAAAATACCTCCAAAGTTTTAAATAAACTGACTAAAGTTAAGAATGCGAACAAACGGATTCCGAGTTAATGATCAAAAGAGATCATGCTTGTTCAGATATTGAAGGCTGTGAATATAAAATGGTGTACAATTGTGGGTAAGCATTACTTTAGAGACTCAAAATAGAATCAAACATCAGCACAACACTTCCCGTTTTTTAATATTTCTTAATTTGACATCGGTTCATGGTAAAGTTCATTTCAATCGCTGAGCTGCTACCTTGACGCGGTGGTCGGGCTTGGCAGTGAAACATGGCCGGTAAGAGTAGAGGATATCCGTAGGCTACTAGTATTTGATCATAGGTGTCTTCGAAACATTGCTCATATATCATGGGACCATCGAGTAAGTAACACAGTTGTTAGAAAACGGGTACTAGGTAAGGATGGCAAATCAATTGATGAAGTAGTGAAACTTCATCAGTTGAGATGGCTGGGACACGTGTTACGTATGCCCAACGACCGACTGCCTCGACGTGCTATGTTCAGTGGTATAGGAGTAGGTTGGAAGAAAGCTAGGGGCGGCCAAACCAAAGCATGGCACAAGTCCATGAAGTCACTGACAAGTGAACTGAGTCATGTTGGTAGGTGTAGACTACCTGGTTGGGGACCGCGAGATGATAGAAACCGATGGTTAGAGACCCTGAATGACATGGCTCAAAATCGTTTGCAATGGCGCAGGTGCATCCACTCTCTGTGTTCTCCCAAATTCTAATCTTCTGAATCCTTCATGTCCCTTTTCTCCTCTTTCCAAATTTATTTCACTGGATTATACTCTTTAAATAACATCTCCAAACCCTAATCTTCCCGATTACTGCTTATACTCTTATTACCTCTACCACTACGGGATTTGAATCGACAACTGCATCTCTGTGCTAATGTGGTGTGGCAACTCGAACTGATGTACGTACGTACGAAGTTCTACGTTGTTACTGACTGACTGACAATCGCTGAGATTATTTCAAATACAATTTCCACATAAAATGAGTATTTATGAAAAGTGTTTGATGATTTTATCTGAGGATCTGTAGCAATTAGATATTTAGAGAGGAACAATAACTAAACCAGTGAAAATATAGGTAAATCTAAATTTGTATTACCTCAGATATTGTCCAGTGTTCCAAGTAATACTCCTGTTGGCGTTCCTCATGAATCTTACATGAATTGATGTCTTCATATACTCCAACTAAAAAAAGTTCACCAGTGTCTCTTTTCACTGTAATGTCATGGATAGTGTGTACTGAGTGTGATGCTGAAGTCTTTGTAGACAGAACCTTTGAATACAAATTCATTAGTGTCTGTCTACTATCTACTTCTTTGATGGTATTCTCCTTAGTTCCATTATCTGATACAATTCTTGACGGGTTTGAAAATTCATAACTATCATTTTTCAGATATACATAGTCTGATTGCCAGAACTGCCAACATTTCATCAATCCATCCTTACTTATAGAAACAAAACTTGGAGACATGGAAGAAAATTTTTGTGGTCTAATTAAATCCCACCTATGTGATGAAAAATGGATAATTTCTCCCAAGTGACCATGAAGTACTGATAATTGAACTTGGTCAGTATTCCATGTCTGAAAATGAAAACGTTTAGTGAATTTATTTGTCTAGTTACCATTTGACCAAAACGTAAATTTTTAATATTGCCTGATTCCTGGGTTCTCAGTAAAATTTCAAAGACCTATCAACGGTAATTTGACGCCTTTTACAATATTTCATAGCATTCAATATATACACTTAGTCTAGTTGACCTGAATCTTCATATTTTAACAGTTTAGTAAAACAAGGTTCTAATGACTTCATACTAGAATTAGCAAAGGATGTATTCGGTGATTATAACGATTTTCCTCTACTCGATTTCCAGATATTCATTTCATTTAACGTATATTACATAGGTATAGGTCATTCATAATTTGTCGTCCATAGTGAGTGGTCTGTATATATATAAAATCTCCTCGCCTTGAGGCCTGAAGGTCTTGGGTCCAGTTCTTAATGAGATTTTGGATGATCACCAATCCAACTAAGACGACATAGCTATCCGATAATCAGTGATTTTCGATGGTTATCTAATTAGTCAGTTTCCGTTGTAAACCACATTCAGATTAAACGACTTCCACAAAACTCCCGTGTTAGGATAAATTGGAGTTATAAAGATGCAGAGGGGAAAGAAGATATGTATATGAAGCGTATTGGGACATTTTACAGTAGAAATTATTGCTGGGTTATTGGGTCAGTGGGTGATCAACGTAAGATTTAATCTGCTACGTTTGATCGATTCGTAGCTCTGGTAACTTCTTGAATCTGGGATGTATCATGACAAAATTCACATAGATAAATCAGTATAGAGATTTGTTCTGGTTACATTTCCTGGTAACTAATGGTGAACTGTTAACGACATTTCCAATTTGAATCGTGATTAACTAAATAGATGCAGTTACACTTCAATAAATTTTAGTTCTCATCAAAATTATAGCTCACTACCACTTTACAAATTATCACTGAAATTATTTGAAGTGAGCCATATAACCGGAAAAATTAACAGTTAACTTTAGCATAGAGAAAACCATTGCAATACATATATGAATAGTGAAATATATTCATGCTAATGACAAGTCTAAAACGAAACAAGAAAGTTATGATGTTACCATTTTGGTTGTGATGAATATTACATTCAGTATGAAGGTGTAAGGGTTGTTGAATCTCATTGAAACCAAAAATTAGTCTAAGTCAAACCACCATTGAAAAGCTGAAAACACTGGATGGGCATATCATCCTACTATAGGACTAATCACCAATGAGCATCCAGGAATCCAACCCAGGACCTTCTGTCCCGTGCGTGAACGCTTGACCTCTAGACCACTGAGCTAGCATAATATTTTTAGTCAATTCAGTTTTCAGTACTTTAGTTGTATGTTTTGCCTTCTCACTTATTTGTACAAATAGTCACATATATCTATTTCACAATTATTTTCACAATGGATCATTGGTCAAATTATATTTTACAGATTAACGATACCTACGAAGAGCTTACAGAAAACAGACAAAGGGAAATCATTCCATTGTTATTTGCGAAGTGTTATGAGCTATCTGAACGTAACTTCAAGTTACGTCTAGGTAAATGAATCTTATTGTGATTTAAGCTATGATTAGTTAATGAGCAAAAAAGAACATATCAAGCCTGTGATTACTATATAGACTATTGTCATATGTAATAGAATGATTTCACTGTGGTAGTTCAGTAACCCAATGTATTATTAAGTAGCTAGTGTCCCAGCGGTAGAATAGTATCTATTATCTCGTACTTTGTATCGAAAAACGGTATTTATTTTTACCGTTATAAAACAGTAAGTTCTCAATATTTGTATCGAGCGCTGATACTTTAAATTAGTTAGTTCTAGCAAACAACTGAAATGAATCATTGCGTTTTTCGTTTGGTTAGTCAACTTTAAAATATGTGCCACATTTTGTAAAATTCATACTTTAATTGTTCCACATCTATCACCAGTAATTAAAATATTTAATGGGCTAATGTAAAGAACAGCCGTAATTTGTGATTTGTGGTTGATCATAGAATTTTCAAAGGTTTGAAAATCGATCGTTTCTAATAGTTTTCCATCAGTCTCATCACAATCACTATTGTGGGATATGGAACTAAAATATCTGTTAAATTGCATACAACGTAACCAAGCAGAACATTTCCATGCAATTAAAAGTTTACAGTTATGACTACATTTCTCTTCGAAACTGATTAATTCTGATGGAAATTCATATGTTTCAAGAAGAGTTCCAAGTAGAGGACATGTCATGATTTTTGTAAATAATTCTTCTTGACAAGTTGGAAAACTAAATGAGATACGATCCTTAAGTATCAAAACTGGTACACATTTATTAGGTATAAGTTGAATTTCAGTAAACTGAAACTGCCAGTGCCTTGCAAATATAATCCAACAATAGTCATCCGAAAATGTTTTAAACGATCTTATTTCCAACGAAAATATGCTTCCTGAATCAAAATTTGAAAATACACCAATCAACTGATTCTTAGTTGTAGATGGGATGCCAATATTCTGAAAAATAAATTGATGAGATAATATGATAGTAATGAAAAACGTTTTTACGAGGAATTTATAATAATGATGAATGACAAATAATTCCACAAGAACTGAACGTATCACCAACCGAAAGTAATGTTAAGGGACAAAATTTACCCTGATATCAAGTAAGTGATTGACAAATTTATAGTTATACTTATCCGTATTCAAATAACACTGAAGTACAGTAACAGAATATTTGAATGATTTAGGCTGATCCGTTCAGTACCAAGATAACGTTATTTAGAATGAATTTCAATAGGAATAGACGTCTGAATTCGAGAAACTGTTGCATCACCGATCTAATTTGATCACTTCCCGTCAAAGATTTGAAAGCCTCATATAGCGTTAGGAAAATTTAAATATATAACTAAGGTTAACTACTGAAATTTTCAGGATTCTGAATATCATGTTTTGCGGACCCTTAGTAGTGTTGATCAACAGAAAGTAATTTAGCCTTTTTCCTTAGAGCTTAGCTCATATTCAAGTTTATTTGTGGTGTGTGTTAATGATTTCGACAGATATAAGTAGTATGCAACACCAATCTAAAGTGAAATGTCTGGCGTCAGAAGGTTAAGGAGATCGAAGAAAAGAAAACGAAAACAGAGAATGATTGCTGTTGAAACGAGGAACAATGAAGTCTGGAACGATTGGTTGATATATTGCAAATGAGGTATTTATTGTATGGTTCTCAGATTTTTTGTGCCAAGATACATTCACTCGTCCCCACTGGTTTTCTCATTCACTACGTATTTACTTATTTCCAGTGAACGATATATTCGATTACGTGCGATCTGTGGGTAAAAGTGAATTGCCGTCTTTGTCGACTATACTGTTGCAACCACAGACGTATCAAATAGCGTTAAAAATTTAGAATGGCAATAAGAAACTTGGTTATTTATTCAAAGTGAGTTCTGATCTAGCCCTAAATGGTAAATTTGCTCGTTTGAAATGACCTCTAACAATTCATATGTTCGAAGAATCATAATCCTTTCAAAGTTATATAAGGGTTCAGCTCAGGTGAAGTAATATCCACCGTTAAAAGCAATATGACTTATAAATGGTGAATTATCATCCGGATAACCAGCTGCTAATATAAAACTTATTCAGTTTATCGTAATCTATAATGACAAGTGCCAAGCAACCGTCATACTAACACAACGAAATGCAGTGGAGAAGGAGCTGCGTATTTAAATGCTTGTATATACGAATATGCATAAGAAAAGTAACGATTTTTAGCTGGTATCCAAGTTCGTGGTTGCAAAATATTACGTTCTGTGGTTATCTGAGTCTGATGTTGATATGCACAGGCTTCCTAAATGCGTGCACAAACCAATTGCATCAGTAAGAAAACCAACTGTAAGTAATAACCTTGAGATGGTGGAGAAGTTTTGTAGCTCAGGTGGATGATTTTGATGGAGTTTCGTTCTCTGAGCTGGATGGTTTGGTCTACCATCAAAAGTAATAACCTATTATTGGCTAGCCGAATCGGGGGCAATATGCACATCTCATTCATAAATATGGATATATGTCCTCCATAAAACGGAGCCGAATCCTGAACAAGAACGTGCATTTGTCAGCACCTCTCACTTCTTATTTGCCCACTGTCTGACTTCCCCCGGTGCAGTACCTTCTCTTCGTGAAAAACAAGTCCTTTCTTTTGAATTCAAATAAACGAATTGAATGGGGGGTCGGTTACAAAAATACTTAGATCACGTTAGAGAATATTGTGGAACATATAGCGTATGTATTTATTTGACAACAGATATTTTTGTGCAAAATTTCTTTACTTGAGCGTTTAAAGAATACATTCATTCTTTGTTTTTTATTGTAAGATTTTAACTGCAAAAAGACATTGATACGATCAATACGGCGAAAAGTAAAAATGTAATGAGATTTGGTTCCATTTAGTTTAAATATCTCACCTCAAGATTTTCACATGATAAAGGCCATAACGTATTTCCACCAGGTTTCCAACCAATGAAAACGTCCACTTTTGATGCATAGGCTAAACGGTTATAACTTTGACTAAAAGCATTTTCTGACGATGAATTTAGAACAAACAATTTAAAACATAAGGACATGTAATGAAATAAAATAGTATTAATTTACTTTACCACTTGGAAATTTAATGGACTATTAAATTAAGTTATTGTACTTGCCAAACCACCGTATCCAAATAATTCGAATATGTATTTTAGTTAACAGATTAAAAGTTCATTCAGTTTGACAGTTTTATTTAGGGATTTTTACACGGACGATCATTTCTACTTTGGATTCGGAACCATTTGAAACCATAGGATTATTAACTGTTCTTTTGTTATAAGAGAATAATTCAGTGATGTAACTTACTTTCTGGTTTTTCGCGTTTTTCATCGCACTTATATAAAATGTTTAAACGTAAAGTAACATCAAAAATTTTAAAACTGAGAATATATCACAGCGATCGGTATACGCTTATTCACATCCGAGCGATTTTTCCGGAATTTTTGCACGTAAAATACAACACTGATTCTTTACGGCACTTTATCTAGGATGTATATTTTATGTGATGAAGCGGCTGAACGAGCCAATATCCATTTGGTCAGAGATGAATGCTTTGCAGCCATTGTTTTAATTAATTTCAAGTATATCTTTTGTTTATGCGATTAAAATGTAGACCAAAGGAGGATTTATCACAACACCGACCGCATTGTGCTGGTAGTTACTTAATGTAACTAAACAGGATACAAAGTAAACTAATTGCTGCTTGTATTTTTGGAACCACTTGACAATGTCACCACCTGAAGGATCAAGCCTATTCACCTCAGCTCTCGCAACAAGCATAACATTTCAAAACCACTAGTTTGGGACTCATTGATTTACGTTACACAACAGTCCTATTCTGGCGAGACTATAATTTACGAACGGAACAATGGAATTAAAGACAGTAAGTCTTAGATTTGGGGGCAGAATTCATTCATCTATATAGCTAAATGGCATTTTGGCGTTAAAGCTTATGTTAATTCATGATGAAAACCTTTACTTTAATTCATAACCTTAAATTCCAATTTCAAATCGTGATCCTAACTCCTCATATTAACTTATTGCTATCTTATGCCACTGGTAAGTAGGTGAATTGTCTCAAGGTCACCTCAACATCACTCAAAGGTCGTTAATAAATTATAGTCTTACTGCTATTCTTACTCACTTTTTTCGAATTTCATAAAACTATCAACCTGGTGGACACGAAAGACACTGCCTCCCACTAAAGGTCCAAGGAAACCTATGAAAGCATAGTCATTAGTTAACACATGATTTTCCGAAAATTTTTGCATATTTTGAATGCATTTTTCATCATTAACTGACACCCAAGGCTTCTTGTTTTAAAACGTCTCTTATCTGATATCCGTTATGCGGTGAAAAATCTTTTAAACAAACGAAAAAAATGTTTTAACCAATTACATTAAAGGGTAAATTAGTAGCATATAAGAATTATTATTGCAGAAAACTAAAACGATTGGTTGAGGATTACCAATCTTTAACCAACCGTACTAAAGATTGTGGGGTGAAAGAAAATTTGGTTTTTCTAATTAAGATACATCTGATATATTGTGTGATATCCGAAATTGATAGTGATATGCAATTTTTCTGTACGCAAGCCAAAACTAGCCACTTGAGCAAGAAGAGAGTAAAACTTTATTGACCGAAGCAGAGTCAAGAAATATCGGTACAATTATTCGAAGATGTACGTCTTCTTACTTTAGAAAATAAAAGCTCATTTTCAACCGATGGCGTTTCTCATTCCATAGAAAGAGAACTAAAATCTTGCCTGTTAGCGAACGTTTATCGTTTAGCATAAGTCTGATTTGTCCATGGTACTAGAATTTTGTGACACAACCGAGAATAACTGACAAAGTGTCATTGAATAATTTGGCAAACAATAAAATCATAATTTAAAGGGGAAAAAGTTTCGTTATAAAAGGTTAAGGTTTTAATAGCTCAACGATTACTTTAATGTTAACCACTTAATAAGTCTGACATTACTGATAGATAAAGTCTTAAAGATATAATACTACCTTCTAATTATCTCTCCTTTCAATTTATGTCTTCCTAGTAAGTTCGTAAAGCTTTTTAAATGACATGTTTCAATAGTTACATTTTTGTACCAACAATTTTGTCCTCATGAAATAAAAATCTCCCAATCGATTTGTTGGTTTTCATTTTTAAAGTCATAAGGAAAAGAAAATAGCGTTCATCCTTAGACTGATATACAAAACAATACATACTATTTTTGTTTCCCGTCAAAAGTACTTCGTTCATCAGTTTAAATTCTTTCAGATCGTAAAATTTGATGCTCGAGGGTGTTTTAATCGCAATCCGCTCATTTTCTCTGGGTAAATAAAGAACCTGCATAAATGAAAAAAGCCTAAGATAAAGTAAAATTAATACAGACAATGGTTATATCTTTCTAACGTTGAACAAAAATACTCTTTTTGTTTATTCATATTCATTCTGTCTAAGCCAAACTAGTATTCAAAGGGAATATAAAACAATTAATCTCAAGTGTATTTGTTGAATGACATAGTTTACTTGCAAGTGACTTCAAATTGAATGCTTTGTCTTAATAAATGACGAACAATGATTGTCGAAAAATATTTAAAGTTCTTATGACTTACATAACACTAAAAGAGTTTGTCTATATCAGCTAAATGAGAGTAGGTCTTTTTGTGCCTTCATATCAACAACTTACTCTTAAGCTCAGCAAAATCCTACATGATAATTAACTGAACAAGCGTCCGGTAGAATGACATTATACTTTCCTATAAGTATGTCACACAATGAGGAAGTTCTAAACAAAAAAACAAAATCTAAGATTACCCAAAAGTGGTAGTTTTGCTCCTATCCTATTTTGGCATACAGAGCAACAAAAGAGCCCAAACTTTTAGAATGGCATTTGGTTATGTAGAGTTACCTCTTATTATGGTTTATTTCAAGAATAATAGCCACTAAGGTTATCATAAGGGAGTCCCAAACTTAAAACGGTATTAATAATTATTATGGAATGACACCCCTACATAAAACGTAGTTGATCGATAGAATAGTTACAGTCAGTCTCATGTGTTTCAGTGGACTAACTGAAAAAGCTCATGAGTGTGGAATACATAAATTCTAAAGGATTGGGAAATTGTGGTCAAACAGAAAACAAAATTGAACAGGACAGTTACCTGCTCTATTATACAAGACGAAAAAGATCCCGACCTTTTGAGAAGACTGTATCCAAATATTCTGTCAATATTCGAATATATACTTGGTTGATTGTAGCTGTAAGATTTATATTGAAGGATCCAATCTCTAAGTAGCCTCCATCTGTCCCTTGAAAACAATAAATTATAATTTTAAAGTAATTAAAATAATTCAATACCTTGCCCTAATTGAAAATGTATCGCCTATGATTTTAGAGTTACAAGGAAGGTCACAATTTTGTTTGTGATCATTATTGTTCATATTGAAAATTGGCTGATTGCAGTTACAACGACCTAATATTGGCAACCTCTAACTGGTATAAATAAACAAAGTACCATAGTTCTAAGAAACAATGTTTAATAATAGAAAAAAGTTCCTCATTGAAATATTCATACGACAAGTTCCTATGGTTTAGTTATTATCTTGTTTTAAACAATCTTTTTTCAGTTGTATAAAAAACGAAGTTGCGCTATTTCACGTTACGATTGTTGGGCCAAGGTAGCTTCATTGATTACTAGGCAAATCATCGGTCAGGCGAAGCCGTTTCTACATTGGATTACAGGACACTTATCATCAGGTTGTTCGATGAATGTCGTCTGCGTCAGAAATGATTGCATGCTATGGACAGTCGCATAAAGCAGTGGTTCCACGTTGTACTTCTGTTGCCAATGAATAATGATATATTTGCTGTTGGCAATAAATTTTACTCAGTCTAGCCATTCACTTAGTAAGCTTATTCACCTGGTTATTACTATAGCATGATCCAGGTTCAATATAAACCGCGAAATGTTATGTCATCATCGTTCAACACGGGTAAACCAAAATCTTCGACACTGATAACTTGAATTTGTTTTCTGAACAGCCAATAATCCTCTATCTTCAATACTGTGATTGCTAGTGGATACAGAAATCCTGGAGCTCCGAGGAGGACACTTTCACACACATTACAATATACATAAGCCAACAAATAAATAACAAACTCACTGAAATTAGTACAGTCGAATGAGCAGAATACCACGCACTGGACATCACCAAATACCTGGAACCTCATAGGAATAACGAGAAGAAGGCTCAAAGCAAGCAGTAGGTTTGCACAAGGTTGTGGGTGAGGTTCAACATGTTGTACATACGTATGCATACAATACACACAATTGCTTAACATTTCTCACACACCACCGATGAATAGGATAGATGACTTAGAGCGAGAAATCAATATGGTGTGAAAAAATTAATGACAGTAAAATTTTGTAAGCCACACTGGCATTATTTTCAAAACAGGTTCAGCTAGCCTGCGAGACAAGTCCACCTTTTGCTAATAAAATCGGAAGCATAATAACCTCACTAATCATGCTTATTTCTGTACAATCACGTAAAGTGAAAGTACCAATTAAACTGGGCCATAGTATTCAAAGTGGCTATTGATAAGAATCCTTTCCTTTAACAATTCTCATATTTTGTATAGGCATTATATTAGGATCCTGAAGGGAAATGGAAAGGAGGAAGACTACTACTGAAATCGGAAGCAGACATCAAAAGTATAAAAAGCGATTAAGAACAACTCGAAAGGATTGCCCAGGACGGAGTTTTGGGGCGAATCCTGGTGAGCAACCTATGCTCCTCTACGAGGAGTAACAGATATAGTTAAGTAATCAAAGTTGAAAAAGCCGCGTGCTCGTAGAGTATAACCTCACGCTCCTAATTTTCTGTTCTACGCTTTAAATAAAGACTTATTCACTACTAGTCTGATTTATTCTATCAATAGATTGAGCTGTGCCTACCAGCACAAAAGACCCTACCGTTTAACAGATAAATACACGGGCACTAGTTTTAGTGTCGTTAGAGCTAAGCTATGATTCCTGAACTTTATCAGAATTTTGGTTATCGAACCAGGCTTTAATTTTTGAGTGGCGAACACTTCCGACATCAACAACTGTCTACGAAGACTCATAACCTTGAATTTTAAGCTTGATAAATTTCTTCTGAGCATCACTAGTTTTCAATATATATGATCACGTCATTATATTCTACATTTTACAACGACCCACACATGCAACTAGTTCAACAGCCTACAAGCTAGTCGACTGAAACACCAAGGTTTAGTAGGGTGGAATCTATCCTTTCTAGTCCTGAGCGTATTTGATAGAATGGGCAAGACCATCAGCTTACTCATTCAACGATGCATAATGGTAATTTTTAAAGTTAAACCATCCGACTAATTCCGAGAAAAGTCTGAAATACTACGTTGGACATCACAATGAAACCAGTGTTTTAGATCTCTCAGCTTCAATTTAAGGTATATTTATCGACCTGATGAGTATCGACAAATTCGGAAATTTATGGTCCGATCTGAGAGCTACCAAGAATTCAACAGTACTGTCCGGAGCTTCTGCTCGTCACAGGCCCGGCGTCAAGAATTTAGAACAAGAAATTGATCAGTATTTCATATACAACGATTTATAAAATCGCACTGAGGTTGTATCAGGTGTGGTACTGAAACAGTGAACATAAAAACAAAATCAAATAACAACTACATGTACGGAGTTTTCCTTGACTGAAAAGACGACGAAGCATCACATCTCATATTGTGCCTGAAATATTAATGAATTCAAAGTGGTTCAACAGTTCTTAAGCACACACAATCACTGCCATGACATGAAAATTTTGAAAATGTGTAGTGGCATTGGACCATAACCACACAATCCTCAAAGCTGAACATGAGACCACTCGGAAAATAGATATTCAATATTTAACACGGAGAAATACCTAACGATGGAGAAGGCGGGAATAATGAATTGGATGAATTAGAGTTGATCGAATAGCATGGCTCGGCCATGCAGGCGTGGTCTCTGCTGAATGTTACCTTATGTCTTCTATTCATATTAAATATATTGTTCTTTCACTAGCCTAACCTTGTTCTACATCATGTATTGGTAATTGATACGATACAGTGAGTTGGTGTAGTCGATGGTGTGACTTCCACCTAAGATCTTATAGATTAGGCAGCTATATCACGACAAATCTACAAATTTAGGATTAGGTCTATTATTAGAGCAGTACTAATATCATAGTGGATCATAATTCTACAAATGTTTGGACGATCACCCGTTTAGGGCAATACTTCCTCAATACGATTAGAAAAATAAGGTTTCTTTCAGTAAGCCATAGGGACAAGTAGCAATTCATGCAGCATCGATTATTCACAATGTAAGGGCCTTCGAAACATTCCTAGGTATCATATGGAACTAAAAGCAAATAAAAGTCAGAACAACATCAATATTAAAGAGTTGGTTCCAAATTCATAAATGTAAGTAACGCGGTAGTAAATGTTGGAAATAAACAAAAAAGGATCTAAGTGTGCTTAGATACTGTCAATAACAGAAGAGATAACATATGTATGGTAAAAACAAACGGATAACCATATGAAAAAGATAAATCCATAAGTCAAGTACATCGTTCATTCACCAAAGATGTGCTCATCTTAGTGACATGCATCTCAACTCCTCAATGAATTGTTATCTGTATAACCCTAAGTAGAAATGCAGTTGATGCAACAGAGGTAGTTGACAATGATTGGTGAAAGCAGAATGCGACAATTATTCAGTCAAACTGTATTAAAATGAACTAGTTATCACAATAGCTGAACATGTTCAATTACACGACGACGTAGATGATCTATGTCGAAAATGATTGGAGGCCTACTCGAGTTAAACGTCAGAGTCACACCTCGTGGTCAGCACCTTCATGGACTACCCCATTGACGTACCAAGGCACCACAGATGCCTTGAAGACTGTACAACACAGAGGACGTCATTACAGAAATATATTAGTTAAAGTAGATACAAGCGAAAATAAGACTACTGCCGCATGAGCCAGTCCATGGCATACGATTAACTGATGCACGTTGTTTGTCCTTGACCTTGGCCAGGATCGATGATTTGTTCGATATTCAATGACTCAACTCCCGGGTGATTTGGCCAGGGCTTAGTGACACTACGCTGACCCTATAACGGAAACTGAAGAGGAAATCTCTATAAGTACTATTGCTGAATATTAAGCGTCAACAAGTTTTTAGCAGTAAATAAACCCGTAAAATAAATAGTTCTGTATGTCTGAGACCTTAATGCTGACCTCACTAGTTTTACAGGGCAAACCCTAGCTGACAGTGCTCGGTCACACACCCACACCGCGTCACCAACGGGTAGGCTGTGCAACATATCCCTGGTAACTGCTGGCCAGCTTAAACAAAATGCTTCTCGACATATCGGCAGGTTTCCTTCTTCGAACCCATGCATTTCTGACTTCTGATTTGACTGGGTTAGCACAGTTCGATTATAAAGGTGTTTAGTGTAAAAATGCCGTCAAGCTCCAAATACCTGTGGCATCTTTAAGTTTTAATAAGTTGAAATTTCTTTTAACTAAGTGATTTCTTGCTCTGTATCAAACTGATCCACGTAAACCACTTCGAAACAATATTTTCTTCACGAATAAGTAATGGTTTTCATATAGATGGAATCAAATTTAGTCGAACATTCAAGGCTGCTGATAATATTATTTCAAAACACTGCAATCAAATGTTGATGGTCACTGCAATGTTCAGGTATAAGTGTAAATCAATTATCACTGACACATTGAAAAGAATGGAATTATATCGAAGTAGACAGAGTGAATTCAGCTTCTAATAATGATTTATTAATGAAAAGATTTAACACCTTCACTCCTGTACAGTACACGTCATTTGTCGTTCCCACCTCCAAACCTGAAATCAACCTGGAAAGTCCAATAAGTAAACGCTAAATAATGTAATTCTGCCTAAAGGAAATATGCAAAAGTAGTATTTCCATCTTCACTAAGGCTTTGATACATATAACATTGGTCACTACACAGTGATCAGTCAATTGTGATTACTGTAGTTCGTTCGTTAAGCTCAAACCAAGAAAAGTACACGTCAACTTTGTTCAACTTTCAACAGAGAGGACAAGAAACTGAATAAAAAGAAAGTAAGCAACTGTGAAATGGGATACGAATCTTTTCATCCTAATGTCCGGTGACGTCAATTAGGGCATCCGCCTTGCCCATTATAGTCGGTTGCCACATATCTAATGCTTTTTGGATTATGTTTTGTCTGAATTCGACACTCATATAGTTGTTAACAAACGATTCATTCATTTTTGGATATATAAGTATATTCCTTTTATAATATATCTTCATTTAAACAAACGAGCTTGTAAATGATAAAGGTCATTTCTTTTTCCTCTAAAAGCCCCTGACGTTTAACATATTGCT